TTTTTTTTTTTTTTTTTTTTTTTTTTTTTTTTTTTTTTTTTTTTTTTTTTTTTTTTTTTTGTTGTAAATTTTTAAAATTAATATTTGAAGTAGAAATCTCTTTATCTAATAGGACGTGAGAATAACTCAAAGTTTGTGTGAATTAAATATGAGAGAATGAAATTTAGTTTCTAGTTTTTTAAAATAAAATTAAAAGATAGTTTATAAATTAAATAAACTTTGGAAAATGGAAGAATTTCAAGAAAATTTGCCCTATAACTTTGTTATATAGTTTTCATAGATAAAAAGGTTTTCGAAAGTGAGAATTATAAGATGATATATTTTTTTTAATAAGACGTTCTTATGATACGAGCATATGATAACTTTTTTTGGGTTAAGCTTCTTCCAAGCCGAAGTGGATACCCTCTCTTGTGAAAAGGTACCCTCCTCCACCAGCGCGGCCATCGGGAAAACTCTCTTCTTTATAGGTAACGAAGTAGCGAGAGGAAGTAGCTCAACTTGAAGAAGAGAGGGAGTAAATAGCTCGAGATCATTTCGAGGGGACTGACATGCTCCTTCCTTATCTTGCCCAAAAACTTTCTGGATTCACATCGGAGAAAGTTTCTGTGAATTTATTTACATACTAGTATTTCATTTTTAAGAAAAAGAGATGTTTTGGCAATTCATGAAGCGGGATGAACCAAGATAATTTTAATTCATTTAATTCAATCAAAATCTTAAAAAACTAAACGATATCACATTATCACATGTTTTATTGGAAACTCGATCATATAACAAACTCGATCTCCACAAATATCCGACCTAGAATCTCCCCTTTTGATCCTCGACAAATTTATTGGGAAATATGAAAGGGATAGAAAATTAAATGGTAATTGCAAGCCACATGTAGGACCGTATCCCATGCGAAAGATAAATATTATTGGACACTGTTAGGGGTTAACTCAGGGTACAAGGAGACAATTGAAAGATCACCTCGTTTTTAATCACAATCATCTCTATCATCAAAACTTCAAATAAAGAAGAAATAATTGTTTTCTTAGTTTGTTCTAAGGCACTTAATATAAAATCCAAAAGATGAGCAAGGACTGATATCTCGATGGTGATCTTGAAACTAGCACGACAGGAGACTTGTACCAATAATTTAACCACAAAAGTTGAGCTTCTTCATTACCTTGGCATAAGCCAATGGGACAGTGCCTGGCTGTCTCAGTCTACGCTTTGCTTTTTTGGACTGCATTGAAAATACAAACAACATGGTTAATTACGAGAAGTTTGAGTTTTGCATTTTGAATTGGCTCAATGAAGTATATTAAAATAGCGAGAAAAAATAAAATGGAAGGGAATAAAGGAGTGAAGAGCCATCCGATGCATGTCGGAGGTACATAGCTAAAAAGCTAGTGTATGCAACTCTAGTGTATAGATGAGAAAATAGTCTCATACATACTATAGCGACCCAAGTCTACTGCTAGCAGATATTGTTCTTTTGGTTTTCCTTTTTGGGCTTCACCTCAAAGTTTTTAAAATACGACTGCTAGAGAGAAGTCTTCATATCCTTATAAAGAATGTTTTGCGACGTGGGATCTCACACATACATAGTTAAGAACTACTGAAGCATAGAGAGAAGCAAAAAAAAAGGGCTATCTTCTTCTCAATCTCTTTTCCCCTCGAAGCCTCTCGCCATTGTCATTCTCCAAAGGGCATATAGTGTTCTTACTCCCTCCGCTGGTGATTTTATTGAAGTCTTCAGAATCGCAATCTCCTTCCCCCACCCATCTAACTTAAGCTTTTGCCTCCAACTTATCGCCTCTTTCCTAATTACCTGCGCAAACTACGCTTTTAGATAGGCTTCGTTCATCTTTAAGAAGTCACTCAAAGAGGCCATATTTACAAGCCCATCCAGAAACCTAACCCTCAATTCTCTTGCTTCTTGATCCTAATATCCCCATGACTTCTAGACTCCAAGATTCAAGGAGTCCTTAAAGGAGCCCAACTTTCCCATAAAATGATGCTAAAGACAACTTGATGGAAGGTTGAGTTAGCCACATTCTCCCATATTGTGTCTCGAATAATTATAGCAATAATAAGTTTTGGGGATAAGGGCTTATTGATGGACACAAGATGCTCAATCATAATGATAACTTTAAGGATAAGACCTTATTGATGGACATACAATGCTCGACGATAGCTTTAGGATTAAAATGCAAACAAATAGTTCACAAAAGCATTTACTTTATCTTTTTGAACAAGAAAGATGCCCTAGCATGAGTATTAAGCTTCATAAAAGACATGGGAGTTGTGAAATGAAAATGAAGAGCAGAAATCGTTGACATCATTCCCGCCGGGGGGGGGGGGGGAGAANCTCCTCAAAACTATCTCCAAAAGCTATTAAAGATACACATTAAACACGTGCTACAATTTAAGCATGAAGAACTGAGAACTAAAATTAGCATTAGCATATATTAGATAGTCTAAACTACATAGAACAACAAAAAAACGACCAAAATTCAGTTCTTTTCTAAAAACGAAATCATAAATCGATCAGTAATGCTAAGATCAAAGGCTCAATCATTCTGCTTAAGGGTTACAATTCTAAACAAAAGAAGTGGTTGAAACGCAAATTATTATTAAGACGCGTAAAACATATAAACAAGCATTATATATATCTGCTTAAACCCAGAGGCCAGGTGCAATGTAGTGATAGACATGAGCTAACTTGAAACGAAATTTTCAGAGAATGGACAATTTACATGGTATAGCTAATCTCTGCCCTCCAAATACTTACATATCTACGCCAAAACAATACTAAACCAAGGAGCATATTTGATAAAACAGAATGACAAACCTTCAAATGAGCATTGTGCCTTTTCCCTTCCTTTCTACGTTTAATGCTCCCATCCTTCCTCACCCAAAACCTAGACTTGTAAGACCTGATCGAAAATCTTAGTGTGTCATTTACTCACAAACTTGCAAGACAATAATGATAAAGAACCAAAATTCATTAATAAAAACCATAATTTTGAAAACTCACGAGTAACATTTTATCTTCGTTTTCTTCAATTTGGAAGTAACTGGCGTCATCGGCTTTCTCCTCTTCTTTCGCTCTCTTGACGAAACATGTCGCACTTGAACAGCCTTAATTATGTAACCGAACATCGTTTAATATCAAATGGTGCAAACAAAGAAATACGGGAATAGAGACTCCAGTGAGTCAATTTTTCCCAAACAATTCCTTTCATCAGCTCAAAATCAAGCGATTCCCCTACCTCCCAAGCATTTCCCGAAAATCCAATATATAACTCCAAGCATCTCAACGAACTAAACAAAATAACCAAAGAAAACGAAACTAAACTAAACTTACATAGAGAGGTGAGAGCGAAGATCGAATGCACTGGTAAGCTGCAAGCGAAGAATGAGTCTGTAAAGATGCATTGAGAAGGGACCTGGAACTCAAATTATTCGGAGAGAAATGGAGAGGCTGGTAAAGTGATGGAGCAGAGTGAAAGATCCTGCGGGTGGAAGAAACGCTATGTACAATTTGAGATGGTTTCGCCGCCGCAGATCGAAGCTTCGAACACCACCTGAGCATCGTCGTCGCCGTCGTATGACCAAAGGGAATTGTTAAAGAGAGAGAGAAACCTACGCTAGGCGAAGGTTGGTATTGGCGCCTTTACATTTTCACCAATTTGGGCCTAAGGCCCAGGCCCAATAAAAACGGGGCGATTTACACTTAAACCCAACTTATGAATTTAATTTTTAAAATTTTAAGTATTTCGTTATTAATATTGAGTTAAATTTTTTTTCTCATTATTTTTCTTAACCAATTTGAAAAATTAAAAAAAATCAAATATAAAACTAAAATTATAAGGATACTTTTAAATACAAAATTGAAACTTTTGAAAATATAATTTTTTTTAATAAAAATAAAGTACTATAAAAAAAAATATATATCTTAAATATGTTAAACATTATCAATCCAACCACTATATATATATATAAAGAAAATGAATTATTTTCAATGTAAATATCATAATTAAATTTAAATAAATTCAATTACAAAAGCAACGCTTAAATTTACAAATAAAAACTAAAATTTTAAAAAATATAAATTGAAGAAAAAAAAAACTAAAAAATTCAATTAAACATATATTTGAAACATAAAAAATAGACCATAATTGTTCTCTACGTCGTATTCCTTGATATACACGCGCCAAACCTACGCGCCACGTGACTCTGCTAATATTCCTTTACCCGTGGACGCCGGACGAATAATCCACGCTGGCATCCATGTGGCACATTAAAATTATCGTCTACATTGTTCTCACGGTGAACCTGCCTTTTCCTCTCGACATCCGCATTTTTAACTGCCCAGTCAAAGATATCATTGATCGAACGGTTGCTATTCGTGGAGGAGACCGTAAGAAAGGATACTTGGCGCCTCGTATATTTTCTTTTTCTATTATGGATTTAGTGTTGCCTTCATATTCGTCGCCGTGGTTCGCTCCATTTGCTTCCCTCTGCCCCGCCATTGATTATTCCCTTCACTGTCTTTGTTTCCGAATGTAAGCCGGGTTTGTTTTTGTGTTGAGTTTCTGTTCTACGACTATTTTATTCCATGATCATCTCTGAATTTGAAGCGTGATTTGTTGGATTAATGCAAGTATTTTGTGTTTGGGCGAAGAGGATCGAGGAATGTACTCAGTAGTCTATGCCTTGAGGTCGTTGATGTTTCAAGTGTGATTGGATTGGACATTTCTGTGTTGGAAGAAGATCGAGGAGTCATCAGTGATCAGAGCCTAACGGTGATTGATTTCCTTCACTTGATTTGTTGCCGATTGAAGTCGAGTTGTTTTCTGTGTTAAATTAGTCAGCTCTGGCTTATCCATTCAGTTAACATCCTTGAATTTGAAGTGTGATTGGATTGAAAGTATCTTTTAGGAAGAAGAATGAGGATTATTAATTAGAGCTGAGTAGGGAGAGACTGAAATTTGGCGTAGAGAAGGGAAGGAAAGTAGAGAAAGAAGGAAAATGGTGAGGTTGATGAGTTGAATTTTCGATCTGCTGGAAAATGGAACGGAATTATCCGTATGAGAATGGCGTGCTGATGACGAGAGACCCGAAGCCAAGGCTGAGATGGACGGCTGATCTTCACGACCGTTTTGTGGACGCTGTCACCAAGCTCGGTGGCCCTGGAAGTAAGTTTCGCGTTCATCATTCTTGCAGTTTCCTTGTAATCTTTTTTAAAATTGCGCCTGGTTTGAAATTTTCTCTCTTTTTTGAATGATGATCTTGAACATTAAAATATCGTATTTTATATCGAATATTTGTTGACCTTGTTCTGTGTTCTTATATTGCTGAAACTGAGAGATATTAATGGCTTTCTAGGCGAATTCTTCCAATCTCATTAGCTATATGTAAATTGCAGCTTACTATCAAACGAATTCGTCTAATTATTGTTTTGGGAAATGAAGTGGTGATTCAATGATGTTCGTGGGTAACAGGACATAATTTAAATTCATTTCGTAATTTGCTTCTTGATGGAGATCTGTCATCAGTTGTTAGAGCATTCTACTTTAGATGCTGCCAATGGCAGTATTGTAGTCAACTGTCGGTAGTTCCTTTTCCTTTTGTCCCTTCTCCAATCGCCAGTCTGAAGAGAAAGACTGACTGATCGCCCAAGTGCTTTTCTAGACAATCCCATCAATTCATGGACATGAGAAGTAGATGAATACTTTTAGCAGTCGAATTAAGAATTTTTTTTATTTTTTTTATTTTTTATGTTGATACTTCGAACTTATAGTATACTGTAAACTAGCCTATATATCCCTGCTGCTTTTTTTTTTTTTTTTTTTTTTTTTTTTTTTTTTTTTTTTTTTTTTTTT